GGAAGCCAGGCCCACCCTCTGCCCAGAACCCTGCCTGGGCCCCGACAGCCCCTGGTTCAGACACCTCAAGCTCAAGGCTGGACCCAGAGTTCCTGACCTGAAAACCCACACCCCATCTTGTTTGTGTGGGCCAGAAATGGGAAGTTATCCAAGGTCCCTTCCTGGAGCCCAGCTCTCTCCACCCTCTCCCCGCACCCCGTTTCTATAGCCTGGCTACCGCCCCAGGGTGGATCGGCTTCTATGTCCGCCTGCCCAATGGTCTGGGCCCAGCGGCAGCAGGCCCCGTGAGGAGAGGGGCCACACCTGCAAAGGTCAGGGGCACTCTGGGAGCCCCTTGGGTGGCATGACAGGCGGGGTGACGGGCTGTCTGACTTACGCTCCAGGTCCCTGCCATGTCCATGTGATGGTGTCCTGGGGTGACAAAAGGGGTGGGGTTAGCCAAGACGGGAAGCCAGCACCCATGCCCTCCACTGAGTACCTGCAGCAGCCCCTATGGCCTGCACAGACTCACAGCCAGTCCCTGCCACATCCTAGGGTCCCACAGGGACATATGACCATCCCCTCCCTCCTAAGCCTGCTTCGGAGCAGAGGAGGGAGCACACCTCTCTGGCAAGCCCGTGGTGTCCTCTCAGCATCCGGCCCTTTCTCGAGAGCCTGTTGCCGGCTTCCTCTGCCTCCCTGGCCCTCACCGCTGTAACTGGACTGTGTGGTCCTAGGTCTGCCCTGGTCACTCAACCACGCTCTGTCCCAACTCCACCCCAGCCCATGCACTCCCTGCTTTGGCTGTGACTGCCCCTCCTGCCAGCAGTACCTGCCCCCTCTGGGGGCACCCCCACTGGACCCACTCACTGCCAACACACTCTGCGTGAGAGCAAGAGCACCTGCCACCTGGCCTGGCTGGGAACGCTGGGTGACGTGACCCTGGTCTCTGCCTGGGACTTCCTTCCGCCCCAGCGACAGAGCGAGGTCGCTCCTGTCTCAGCCCCCTCAGTCCATCCTTCCCTCCCCACAGGCTCGGTGCCAGACCTGGGCACAGGCCCACGGCCGTCCCCTGGCTACCAGTGCCTGCAGCCCATCCAGGGGAGAGGACCCAGGTCCCGCAGGGAGCTGCAGCCAGAGGTGACATACAGGTGGCCCTGAGCAAATGCCCACAGGGGTTCCAAGCTGCTCTGGGCCCTGAGGGCAACGCCCTGCCAGGTACGGAGCCCAGCATGGCACCTGGGGGAGTTCTCAGAACTCCGGCTCCTGGGGGAGGTTCCATGACCTGCAGCACATCGTCTGGGGGACGTCCCTCGCCTCCTACCCTGTGGGTGTGCTGCAGAAGCGGGAGGGAGGCTGGGCCCAGCCCCAGTCAGCCACCCTCCCTTTTATGTGACACCAGCTTATCACTGTCCTCATACCCCATCACCCAGAGTTGAGGCAGTCCACTCTCTCTTCCTCATCTTACACCTGCCCTGGGTGCCGGCTAGATTGGCCGTGCTGGGAGAGGCAGGAGGAGGTAGAGGGGAAGGAGGGGGCAGGGGGAGGAGTGGTCCCTGGAGTGTGTTTTGGAACGTGAGGATGAGCAGACAGGGCACATCCAGACCCCTGCACCTGCCCTCCCTCCCTGGCCCTGCCCAGTACCCCTGCCCTCCCTCCCTGGCCCTGCTCAGCTCCCCAGCACCCCTGCCCTGCCCCTCCCTGCCCCTGAAGAGCCAACTCACCAGCTGGTTCGGGTAGCGCAACACCACGGGCTGCACTGGCACGCCAGGGATGAACGCCCCTGGGGAGGAAGCATCCTTGCTCTAGCGCCCTTGGAGCCAGTCCTCCCGGCCACCCCCTCCCGCCAGCAGAGCCCCTGTGGGTGTCTGCTGGGGACACAGGAACTGCGCTAAGAACCTGCCTGGAAAACAGGGTGTGTCCCCAGGCGGATGCCCTCCCAACCCATTGGGGGGAGGGGCTCCTGTGAGAGCTGCACCCCCACCCCCACCCCCAAGCTCCCCTATGTCTGGTTTGGGGGATGAAGACGGTCAGGCTTTTCTCCCCCAAGTGCCTCTGGTTGGATGGTCAGTGCCCCCAGGGACATGTAGAACATGTGCTGATGAAAGCACTCATGGGAGAGGGGTGCCTGCACCATGAGGGTCTGAGCCCCTCAGCCTGAGCTCCGCCCACCAGACTCTCAGGGGCCTGCACCCAACCAGCTATAGGCCCCCACGGCTGGTCCCCACCCTGCCATGGGGTAGGTCCAGCACAAAGAATAACCAGACACGGACCCCATGGGTCGTCCCTGGGAGGGACGTTGGTGCCTGTAGAGCCTCTCCAGGGCCAACAGGTACCGCCCAGCAGCCAGGACGCACCTGCTCTCTGTGCGGCTCAACAGATCTCCTTCACAAGACATCAGGAGGTAGGATGACACTTTCCCCTGAAAAGTCCCATAGAGGACCACCCTGCCTGCTCCCGGGCTCTCACAGAGTGGACGCTGAGCTAGGTCCGGGGGCAGAGTGTGTGTCTGACCATCAGTGGAGTCCCAGACTCCACCTGCCCTGTCTCATCTGGGCTGACCCCAAAGGAGAAAGGGCGAAGTTTAAATTCCTGACACCCACCCCACCCCCACACACAGAGTCGACACCCCCATTTCATGCTATACCTCTGTGAAATCACGCCCCGCCCCCCCTGCAGACATGGTAACACACTGAGCCAAATTCTAGTGTTATCTGATGATGCCGTACAGGATTATTTTTTAAGAAAAACAAACTCCAAAACTAACATGTACTGCTTTCCCTAAACTATTATCTTAACCTTCCCCCACCCCCCTCGCTCTCAAGGAGAAATATAATTAAGTACATACCGGGCTTGAAGGTAATTAGGCAGGTCCTGTTGGTACAAGTTCCTTCTGGAAAAATCATTATCTTCGGGGGGTGGGGGAGAAAAAAAAGCCAGCATTAAAATGAAAGGCCCTGTAAGTCAGGTTCCCGGGCATGGAGTTGACAGCTGAGATGGGGCTCCTGCGCAGGGGCAGTCGGTCCCACGGCCTGGCCTTCGGTGCCACGCTCCTGCCTCTGAGGCCCCTGTCTCCGCCCCTCACCCCGACCACAAGCAGTGGTTCACAAGGACCCGTGTCATTGGAGGGCCAAAGGCAGCTAAAGGGGGCCATCAGCAAGACAGGGACCAGCAGGATGGGGTTGGGAACTTCTGGGGGTCTGAGGTGGCTCACAGGAGGGGCACATCAGGAGACCTGAAAGTCACCTCTGGGGACACTCAAAGTGTCACCATGTCTGCGAAGGACTCGGCAGTCATCCTGCTGGGAGAAGGCTGGACAACTGGCAGGGGTCCTTCTTAAAGGGGCCTCCCATGGTACCTGACCTCTCTCTCCTCTCTCACACACGCACACACTTCTACAAGTGACTAAATTTAGGTTTCATTAAAGAAAAATCCGCGCTGCTCATGCACACACTTAGGTTGTGCACCGAACCAGCTGTGTATCGAAACCCTGCGGAACGCCGGCAGGGCCATTTTCCAGCTGGGCAGGCCCTCCGCAGCCAGCTGGCACGCTCACCGGCCACATGCTGTACCTCGTCGACAAGGATGCACGACAGACGAGCACAGGTCATCAGTGCTAACCACGGGAGTGGGGGGCCAATAAGGTGTCCCACAGCGGGTGGGGGGACAGCTTGGGATGAGAGAGACCCCAGACCAGTCTGTTTTCATCCCAGTCAAGGGGACTGCGGTGCGTTTGAGGCTGTCTCTCCCTGCTGCCCACCTGACCACCTGCCATGCAGTGGATGCTGACCAAGAGGAGCAGGCAGCCTCGTCTTTCTCCCGCAGAGCAGTTGGTGGGTTTGAACTGCTGACCTTGCGGTCAATGCCTGTTACATCACTGAGTAATCTGCTGTTTAACACCTTCCTGGACTGGCACACACTCATTCTCTCATAAACTCTCACTTGCACAAGCACACAAAGACATCCACACAGCCACTCTCAATCACTCGCTTTCCCACACACAGCCTCGTACTTACACTCTCTCACATCGGCCGCTACGCATTCTCCCCCACAACACTCAGTAACGTTCACAGGTACACACACACTCATTACCGTTCACACAAGGTATTCACACACTCAGTAATGTTCACACAATACACTCACACTCAGTAACGCTCACACAAAGTACTCACCCACTCACATTCACCTGCATGTTATCTCACATTTATGCACACGTTTTTTCACATCCAGCCACCCAGTCCCTCACGCAGCACACACATTCACACTTACACCCTCACAAAATGAAGCAAGGCCCACCCTGCAGGGCCCACCCGTCCCGCTCTTCTCCGGGAGTGAGGGTGGGGGGTGGGTAGGCACGGCACCGGGCAGGCAGCATACCTGTGGCCACTTCCCGTTGGACTGCGCCCGTCGCTTGATCTCTTCCACGGTTTTCCTGCGAGAGTCCTGGTCCGAGCGGGACACGAACACAGGCCGGATATACTTGATGAGAGCTGGAGAGAGAGGAGTAGGGCAGTGGGGTCAGCAGGGGGCGGGCCGGCCACAGCCCTGCGAGCAGACAGCCTGCACCGGGACAGCGGTGCCCCGGCCCCTGGCCTCCCAGGAAGGAGATCCTTTGAGGCCCCCGGACTGGGGGTGAGAATCCAAGATTGAGTGTCCACACAGAAGGCAGCCAACTGGGCGAAGCCAGGCCAGGCACGGAAAGTTCCAAGAGCTTCAGTGAGCCTGACCCCGCAGGCACCCCGGCCAGTGAGCACATGCCTCTGTGGCCAGTCCTGTCCTCTGGGCACTGCGGTGACCGTCACCCTCACAGATGCTGTGCCGCTTGTACAGTCCGGGTCTGCGGCGACCCTGCAGGGAGCAAGTCCGCCCGTGCCATTTCCCAGTGGTCATGCTCACATCCCACCCACGCAGCTTCCTCACAGGATGCCACGCCTTTCGTCACACTGTGGCCCGGGACCCCAGACGGCGGTGAGCGGCCACATCACCTGCGACCCACCTTCTGGTGACACCCGCCTGACCGCGGTGTCCTGAAGCCACACACGTACAGGTCCCCGAGGTCTGTCTGGACACCAGCGGCCCCAGGGAATGGGCACTCCGCTGACACTCACTGCTGTGTCACCTGGCCTTGCCACTAACTGGGCGAGGGCCAAACTGTGGCCGGCCCCGCCGTGGAGGGTCAGTTCTGTTTACCACCATTTGTAATAACTCTAGCTGTGACTTTCATTTATTCTTGGAAGCCTTCTGAAAAGTAGTAACACT